ATATAAACATACAGACAAACACAGACACACAGGTAAACACATAATATATACACACAGACAGACACATATATAGACAAACACAGACACAAATAGACACACACGCACACACTAACACACACACACACACTTACACACACACCCACACACACACATACATTCATATACACGCACACATACACGTACATACTCACAGACAGACATACACACATATACACGCACACATACACATACATACTCACAGACATACACGCAGATAGAGACACACATGCGCACCAACATAAATACACACAGGCACAATAAATATAGACGTGATTGAAAGAAGGGATAAAAGAAAGAGAAAGGAAGAAGGTGAAAGAAGGAGAGGAGGTTAAAATGGAGTGAGGGTAAAAAAGAAATAGAGAACGAGGGCAAAAGAAAGAGAAAAGGCAAAAGAAAGAGAGAGGATTCAAAAACAGAGTCCGCGATGAGTGCGGGGAGAAAAATGAGAAAAAGAGGTGGGGGGAGAAAGAGAGAGAAAAAGAGAGAGAGAGAGAGAGAGAGAGAGAGAGAGAGAGAGAGAGACAGAGAGAGAGACAGAGAGAGACAGAAACAGAGAGAGAAGAAGGGGGTGAGGAGAATATAACATAACCTGACTTGTTTCTCTCTATGAGATTAAGAAAGTGTGTCATTGTTGCACAAACTGTTCGCCAAATTTCAATAAGCCGTAAAATGTGTGGAGTTTTAAAGAATTCACCTACAAGAATTCTTAAGAGAAAGAAAATAGGCATAGGATAATTGAGTCAAATTTATTCCCTGCTCCAGTTTAATATTTAAGAAACATCACAAGAGGTGCAAAACGTTCAAAAGGTCTAAGTATTAATTTTCAAAGAATCCCTCTTGGTAAAAAAAATGATGACAAACGTAATTTAAGACAGTGTGTTAATTGAGACCCAAGAGGAAAGTCAATACCGAACAGTAATTGTCTTAACGAAATATTTTTTGTCAACTTATCTTTTGAGTGATTGATTGAAAGACAAGCACACCAACACAATGATGGCCTTCTTCTTTTACGAATAGCAGCACACAGAAACAATGCTACAAATAAGAAATAGTACATAATTTCCACCCATGTTCCCCCCAAAAAGCCATTTTTCCCCTCCCTTGTATTTTGTGTGCGAAATTGAAAGTTATCATTTAGTCTCCCTTTTCAGCTTTCAATTCAATCAACTG